TTATAAAAATCCCCCTATAGATTTGGATTGATCTGACGGGAAACGTCAATTTGTCATGCCAATCAAACCTCAAATAAGTTTGAAATTGTCGAAGTGACAGACACAGCGTTACTGTCATTTTCGATTCAGTGGAAATGCCACAATGTGAGCAGAAACTTCTAGCTATAGGGATTTGATACATATGCGTTATCACCAACGAAGTCTTAAGAAAGGTATGAGAAGCTATACACGCCTTTTATTGAATGGTGCAACAATGAAGAAATGAAAAAACCGAATGAAGAATAGGTATTTTTGGCTCATTTCATAGAAGTGTCTGGAACCTAGAGACCAAACTCCTAATGGGCCTGCTGGCTTCCGCAATGAACCAACATAATGCGTCAAACTGTAAGTTCACAATAGCTATTAATAATAATTGATAAATAGAGAATATATATCTCTTGTTAGTTGTTTCTATTTGCTTGAATAATTAATTGAACGATTCAATCAATTTCCTATACGCTTGTAGAAAAAATATTGTTCCTAACTCATGCGGAAAGTGTCTTTCCCGCACTCGACTGCTTGCCCGAACTCCGCTTCGCGTCGTTCGTGTCAACGGCAGTCGCGTGCGGGAAAGAATAACTTTCCGCACTTGTTAGGAAAATTACTATTTCCTAACAAGTGCGGAAAGTTATTCTTTTCCGCACGCGACTGTCGTTGACACGAACGACGCGAAGCGGAGTTCGGGCAAGCAGTCGAGTGCGGGAAAGACACTTTCCGCATGAGTTAGGAACAATATTTTTTCTACAAGTGTAGGAAATTGATTGATTCGTTCAATTAATTATTCATGCAAATAGGAACAGCTAACAAGAGAAATATATTCTCTATCTACTAATTATGAGTAATAGCTATTGTGAACTTACAGTTTGACGCATTATGTTGGTTCATTGCGGAAGCCAGCAGGACCATAAGGAGTTTGGTGTCTAGGTTTCAGACACTTCTATGAAATAAGCCAAAAATACCTATTCTTCATTCGGTATTTTCATTTCATTATTGTTGCACCATTCAATAAAACGCGTGTATAGCTTCTCATACCTTTCTCGAGACTTCGTTGGTAATAACGCATTCGTATCGAATCCCTATAGCTAGAAGTTTTTGATCACATTGTGGCATTTCCACTGAATCGAAAATGACAGTAATGCTGTGTCTGTCACTTCGACAATTTCAAACTTATTTGAGGTTTGATTGATGGCATGACAACAATAATCGTTTTCCATCAGATTAAGATCATCAGATCAATCCAAATCGATATAGGGGGATTTTTACAATAATGAATTTTCATTTCTCAATATTTCTTAATTTTCACAATGAATAGTGCAATTTGATGGATGATTCTGAACATACATACCTAATACTGCAACAAACTAACTTAAACTTTTATTTTCCATCACCAACCACTTATATTATTAGCAATGTTATCATATCTTTGTTTTCCCGCACTCTTGCGGGAAAATGACACTTTCCAAACTAAATTGCGTGCGTGTATAGGGTGAATCACGCACGCTTGTAGACAAAATAATTATTCACGTTCGTAAAAATGCTGTTTAGATGTGCAAGTCGTTCTGAAACCCTTCATAGAAATTATTTGAAAATTCACATATTATGTTGGTTTGACACCATGAAGAGTTAGTATTTCATAACATGCCAAATTTGGTGAGAAACGCACAACTAAATTGCTGAGATTTATAGGGGGGCGTTTAAAGTGAAAAAAATATAAGATGTAATGTATTCTCTCAGCTGACAGGCTAGATGAGCCTACTGACAGTACCAGGAGCCTCAGAGCGTCTAGTGCGCAAACGAAACGAGCGCAGGAAATGCACTTACCAAGGAGTTTTGTACACTATTTTTCCAACGACCACAAATTTTCAAATCATATGCATCATGAGTGGTTGAGACCTGAATAGAGGTATCATAAATGTTTCTAATCATATTCCATCGCATGAAGATGAAACTATCATCATTTTTATTTGATTTAACTTCAAAATTAACCTAACATCATTCATCTATCATCAACTCAACAGTGACTTCGCATTAACTTCACATTGAATTATCATTGATTTATCATTAACTCAACATTAACTCAATATTAACTTAACACTAACTTGACATCAACTTAACATTAACTTAACATTGACTCAACATCAACTTATAATCGACTCTACATCAACTCAACATTGACTTAACGTCAATTTAACATTAACGTAACTTAATTTAACATTAACGTAACTTAATTTAACATTAACTCAACATTAGGTTAACATAAACTTCACATTAACTCAACATCAATTTGATATCACATCGACATTGAATTATTATTATACTAACATTACATTAACAATGATTCAACAACAACTCGACATTAAATCAACATTAACGACATTGACTTAATTTTAAACAAACATCTACTTGACATCAACTTGACCTCAAATTTACATTAGCTAAACATTACTTTGACATTAGCTCAACATTTGCTCAATATTTACTGGACATGAACTTATAACAATATATTCATTTTACTTGGTTCTTTGGGATTTTCTCTCCTCGTTTCTATAAAATAAAAGTATTCGTATTATTTCAATATATTTGTAGAGGGACAAATCAGATGATTTTCCCCAAGATATCACTGCGTTTAACAAATTTTTCAATCAGGGAGTCTAAAAGAAAAATCCAGTAGCTTGTCAGTGACAATTTGTTTGAAAAAATTGTTGAAGGAAAGAAATATAGATATATTGAAAAAATATCGAATTTTTACTTATCTTTGGACGTTTCGGGACCGATTCTGCTCCCGTTCTCAACATGTAAATGCAAATTATTTTTCTTTGAAAGTTGTGCTGCGTATAGTTTGACACTTTTCAGTGTCATACTGATGTTGGCATATGAATGAGTGATTTTAGTCTACAAATGAGTTACAGGATGTTTTCATTAATTGATCTTGAATCTACCATTTTCATGTTCAGTTTTCAGTAGTGAATGTGAATACCATGTTCTATCAATATCAACTGAACAGGAAGCAATGCTATTGTCTCCGTTTAGAAGAATGCAAGCGGATTCCTTTATTTTTCTTTTTTGTTTGTTATCTTCCTTTTCTATGATTTTGATATTATTCCACTGTGCCATATGTTGTCCATCTTCAGTCAGGATATGTTCAGTTAGCTTCGATTTATCGATATGTCTTTTCTTTATATTGTACTTGTGTTCTTTTGTCCTTACTGCGAGAGGTCTCTTCGTTTCACCTGTATAATACTTTCCACAAACACAAGGTATACTATAAATTCAATTTTTTGATGATTGTTCTTCATTTTTTGGCTTTGTTTGAGTTAGAATGGATCTCATTGTATTTTCAGTTTTGAACACAGTTTTCACTTGGAACTTATCACCAACACGTTTTATTTTTTCAGATATGCCGGGAATGTACGGTATTATATTCGTCATTATTTATGGTTGTTTTTGTTGTGGTGTAAGTATTTTGTTTGTTTTCAATTTGGTGAATCGTTCTATCAATGAAGTTCCTTGGATATGAGTTGAGTTGAAGAACATCTCTGATGTGGTAGATTTCGTTATTGAAAATTTGTTGGTTAGATGATATTGATTTGGCTCGATCATGAAGTGATCTGATTATTCCTTTTTTGATAGCTTTCTGATGATTTGATTGAAAATTGAGGTATCTGTTAGTATGAGTCTTTTTACGATATACACTTGTTAAGAAAACATTGTTTGATGTTTTGATAAGAACATCTAAAAATGGTAACTGATTGTCAGATTCAATTTCCAAAGTGAACTTTATAGTAGGTTCTGCATTGTTTACGCATGATCTAGAAAATTATCTAGTTCTAAAAGGGTATGTGGCCAAATTATGAAGATGTCATCTACGTATCTCCACCACGTTTTTGGTTGTTTTTCGTAATTTTTAATAACGTTTTCTTCGAAATTCTCCATAAATATATTGCTCAAAATTGGAGATAGTGGTGAGCCCATAGCCATGCCAAAACTCTGTTGATAAAACTCATCATCCAATTGAAAATATGTAGTTTTTAGGCATAATTCCAAAAATTCCAAAATTCCTTCGATACTCAGATTGGTTCTCTCAGTAAGAGTTTCATCATCTTCTAATTTATGTTTCACTATTTGTAAAGTTTTATCTATAGGAACATTTGTGAATAAACTCACTACATCAAAACTAACAAGAGTGTCATTTATATCCAATGTGATATCGTTCAATTTTTCTAAGAAATGAGGAGTATTTCTAATGAAACTCTCACTCTTACCTGATATAGGATTGATAATATTCAAAAGAAATCTTGCTAAATTTTGACATGGAGATCCAATTGATTGATTATTGGAAATAGCAATAGTCCCTTATGTGAAATAAAATGGGTATACTTTGTCATTCGTCTTGTTTGAATTTGAAGAGTGAGAGGGAATTAGTAGAACAGCCGAGGGTGTTCATCGAGTTTCAAGATAGGCAAATTTGCATCTCGCACCGAATCGTGTAGTATTGTAATCTTTGTTAAATGAATTTTTCCAAGTGTTCACTGAGAGCTTTACGACTTTTCAGTCTCAGTATCTTTTGATACAACACCTATGATATAGTGCTTGTTCCAAAACGATACATATGTAATTTTTTGACTCCAAATAAACAGATAATAGTTATATTGTACCGTATCGTATTAGTAGTGCATTTATAGACTTCGTAAAATATTTTTTCCAAATGTTGTATTGAGTGATTCAAATTCCGAACCCGGACTAATCGTATGGTAATTCAAGGACACCTAGCTAATAACTTGGGCATGCAAAAAACAATACGCAGATCGTAATTTTTCCTAATTCCATCAGATATACCAAATAACATCCATTCCGCCACAACATAACTGACCCTCGACTGGATTGGAGTATTTTGTAGTAGAATTGCTTGTTGGGATTCGTAAAGGTTAATAACTATTCAACTAATTTTTGTCGTTTTGCAGGTCAATAAATGTCTGGCATGGACTTTCACATTGCTTCTACTATGTATTCCCATATACGTACAATTGTTTCTCAACAGAGCTGATGAATATAGTGCAGTGAATGCTGCCTTTTGCAATTCTTGTACAAGACAACTTTGGGGCATTGGTATTGGCATTTTCTCGTATCTTTGCACCAGTGGAAATGGAGGTGAGTTGATGAATAGCAAATCTGCAATCGAAGTTCCGCTATGGAATAAAAAGTAAGAGCAGACCTGATATGTGAACTTTCCTAAGTTAGAAATGAAAAGATTGCATCAAATACTATTCATACAGGGAATAGGTATCTGGCGTTAATTCGACTAGTATACAATCCCATTATTCACTACCAAGTCCTCTCGCATTCGGAATTAAATTATATTCCATTTAGTGAACAAATATTGGCATTCCAGTTAACTCAAAACTAGTATGGGCATAGAAACCCTAAATGAACTGAGCAGTCAGAACAGGCTGACTTTAGCATGGGTACCAGCACATACAGGGTACGAGGGCAATGAAGAGGCAGACTCACTTGCCCGAGAAAGAGCAAACAAAGCTCTGAATGGCCCAGAACCCTTCTGTGGTATTGCGGAAGCTATACAAAAGACTAGTATCAAATCATGGATGCAAACCAAATCTCAAGAATGGTGGAACAACTCGCCAGAAATGAGACAGGCAAAAGAGTTTATTTAAAAACCATCGCCAACATTCACAGAATATCTACTGAGCCAGAAACGAAGTTCTACTAGAATACTAGTGGGGCTTCTCACAGGGCATTGTAGGCTCAACAAACACAAGATATGTCTGACTGAAGAACTGCTGTGCAGGTTCTACCACGGACTCCTCGCCAAGCTTTCATCTTATGGCTTGCCCCCCAGCTATGTTCTCTGCTAGCTAGTTTTGTCACAAACAGGTCTCTCCATGTAGTGGTCGACGGAGTTTCATCTGACTCTCCTATCATGAATGCTGGTGTTCCGCAAGGATCAATTCTAGCACCAACGCTATTTCTACTCCATATCAACGATTTGTTGGAAGCAACGTCATGTCCAGTACACAGCTTCGCGGATGATAGTACCCTCCATACCGCCTTCTCTTCCAGGGATCCAATACCAGCCAAGCAAATCAAAAACGAACTAGGAAGAAATGTTGACAAGGAATGAAATATGAACTTTGCAACAATTCTCAAATGGGAATCCAATAACTTGGTAGATTTCAATGCAAACAAAACACAAGCATGCCTTTCCTCTAGAAAAGCCGATCTCACTGTGCTCAACATGAGCTTGTCATGAGTAACCATACCTCACAGAATATCTACTGAGCCAAAAACGAAGTTCAACTAGAATACTAGTGGGACTTCTCACAGGGCATTGTAGGCTCAACAAACACAAGAGTACGATATGTCTGACTGAAGAACTGCTGTGCAGGTTCTGTCAGGAAGAGGAGGAAACAGCAGTACACATTCTTTGCCACTGTTAGGGCTTGTCAAGACTAAGGTTCCTTACGCTTGGTGAGCAAAAATCAGAAGCCCAAAGATACACAGGGGATCTGAAAGCTAGCCTATTTAGTCTCATAGAGAAGGCAGGGCTAGCCGAAGAACTCTGATCGATCTGGAAAGGTCGCGGTGTGGAGGCAGATAGTCCGAAGGCCCCATTCTGAATCTAAAAAAATCTGGCATTCCAGGAAAATAAGTTATGGTTACTTGAAGTTTCCCAAAGGTGTTCTCGAATTTGACAGATTTTCAATCGTTTTTCCCGTCTACCCACCATCGTGAATATATTTTCATTGAACACGAGTGAAGCATGCAACTTCTGCATGCAAACTTATTTTCAGATCAGTAGTGCTATCATAAGTAATATCACGATGTTCTGAATATTCGAGATATTTATGTCGCTTGTGTGTTCACGAAATTGTGTTGCCGATCAACACGACGAGTCCATCGAAAAATATCAGGAAACTCATAGAAATTCAAACAGTGGAGGTTATTTCCAGATGGAAAGACAGAAAGATTACATATTTTGCTTTACTGTAATCCCTAATTCGATATGGAATAATGGGTTTGTTTATATAATGTTCATCCAAATGCACAGAATATATCACAATCTCATCAAAGACAACTTCAAATGATATAAAAAATGTTGCTATTCTAAATAGGCAATAGCTACACATTCTCCATATCTGCATATCGATATGGAATAATGGGTTTGTTTATATAATGTTCATCCAAATGCACAGAATATATCACAATCTCATCAAAGACAACTTCAAATGATATAAAAAATGTTGCTATTCTAAATAGGCAATAGCAACACATTCTCCATATCTGCATATCCAGAATATTATTGTGAAACGACATTTATTTATTATTTGAAGTTTGAACACCTGTTTAAGGTATAATCATGAAGAAATACTGTGTAGATAATAATGACAACAGAATAACTAAATACAAAATGAGTATGCTGATCAAAATGCATTGTTGGATTCAATTCGGTACTTATTTCATTAATTGAGTTTTTCTTTCAGGAATTATCAACGAGTTCTTGTCATTACCAATATTCCAAATATTGGTGAGATTTTCCTACAGTATGTATCTCACTCACGTACCAGTTATGGCATATTTTATTGGCGAAAAAAGACATCCGGAATATTTTGCCACCATGAAAGTTGTAAGTATTCACAATAGCAGTATTTCAAACAAAAATATTTGTTATTTTGCTAGGTGCACATTTATGGTGACGGAAGAGTTCACAATACATTCATCTTTATGTCTGTTTCAGTCAAATTCGATACAAAGAACTCTATATCTATAGATAGCGTTTCACAAAACCTATTAAGTAAACTGGAAGTACTAAATAACAATCAATATTATGACACATGAGCTAACCACTTTATGAACAGTTTTTGTCACTCATTGGCACAATCTCTCCCTTATTCTTGCAGACAATATCTTATCATTGTATCATTAGAACTACCCTTGAATGAAAAAATATGCATGATCAAATCACTTGTTTCCCGATATTTCTTATTCACATGTTTTCACAAAGTCCCTGAAATCACACCTAATATTTTTCAGCTAGCTGCTACTCATTCAGTATTCACCAATGCATAGATTGATGTTTCGTCTTGAACCGAGTGTTGTCTTTGCCCTTTTTCCACCGTACTGATGAGGGCCGAAAGCCCGAAACATGTGTCCTCTGTTAACTCCTTGTGAGAGCTATGTCCATTATTTCCTTCCCAGTTGTTTGAAACAATATCTATACTATTATTTTCATCTTACAGGCACATCAGGTTATGGGAGATATACCATTTATTTTTTTGGCTTCTACTATCTGGACTTTGGCGTTTGAATCACCATTCAGGGTCATCGGGAAACTTCTCAATAAAAAAGGTAAGTCCCAAATCTCAAACATTTTCGAATACCTATTTATGTTCACAGCACGTATCTATGTACGTCCATCTTCAGGACGTCAAATGGTCGTATATAATTGCACGTTAAACGCCCAAAGGACGTCTATAGAATGTTCTGAGAACACCAATTCGGATATACAATGGATGTCCATATTGTACCACGGACTCCTCGCCAAGCTTCCATCTTATGGCTTGCCTCCCAGCTATGTTCTCTGCTAGCTAGTTTTCTCTCAAACAGGTCTCTCCATGTAGTGGTCGATTGAGTTTTTTCTGACTCTTATCATAAATGCTGGTGTTCCGCAAGGATCAATTCTAGCACCAACACTATTTCTAATCCATATCAACGATTTGTTGGAAGCAACTTCATGTCCAGTACACAGCTTCGCGGATGATAGTACCCTCCATACCGCCTTCTCTTCCAGGGCTCCAATACCAGCCAGGCAAATCAAAAACGAACGAGGAAGAAATGTTGACAACATAAATATGGACTTGGCAACAATTTTCGAATGGGAATCCAATAACTTGGTAGATTTCAATGTAAACAAAACACAAGCATACCTGTTCTCTAGAAAAGCCGATCTCACTGTGCCCAACATATAAGCTTGTCAGGAGTAACCATACCTTTGAAGAAATCCATTTTGATGCTTGGTATCACTATCAGCAGTACCCTTTTTTGGGAAAATCACGTGAGATCATTTGCTATAAGTGCATCCCAAGAACTTGGTTTCCTGTTTCGAGCCAGGAGCTATTTCACTTCTAGTCAGCTGCTTATGATCTATAAGGCACAGATCCGAACTGTCCTGGAAAACTGTTCCCATATTTGGAGTGCAGCACCCAAACATACCCTGAAACTGTTGGATTCTGTCCAAAAAAGGGCAATTGGTCTCGTGGGTAATGCCTCGCTCACAAACTCGCTCACTTCTCTGGAACACCGTAGAAAAGATGGCGATCTGGCTTTATTTCAGAGATATTTTCATGGACGATGCTCTTCTGAAATATCAACAACTGTTCCTCCCTTGGTAGTCCCCGCGAGATAAACCCGTCGAGTTGAGGCTTCGAAACCCTTCGTGGTCACTTTGGAGACCTGCCGAACATCTCTATTCAAATACTCGTTCATCCAACAACAGCGAGGCTCTGGAACACATTGCCATGGGAGGTGTTCCCTGAGGCATATAACCTCCAGAAATTTGAGAAGAACACTAATTTCCACCTTATTTCCCTTGGTTCTCATGATGTTCTCTGAACATTACAGGATATCCGTTTTCGTGGGAACCAGAATTAAAAAAAAATTAGCCAGTGCATAATCTGGGGGTTTATTCCCCAGTTTCCATGTGGGATTTCCAAATTAACTTTGCATCTAGGATCACCCCCAAGTACCTGACTTCCTGTGTAAACACAAGAGATCTGTTGAACGTGGTCGGTGCCATGAATCCTTCTAATCGGCTACTCCTGGTAAAGAGGATCATTCTCGTTTTTGGCGGACTGAAGGAGAGGTTTGATTCCACGCACCATCTCACTATATTGGTTGAATATACCGAATACTTGTATATAAATATGGACCAAAGATTACAGGTGGATGCCATTTACACCGATTTCAGCAAGGCGTTCGATAAGATCAGTCATAATCTTCTTCTCGAGCGCCTTGCTGGGGTTGGGGTGAGTGGATCTCTCTTAAGATGGGTGGAGTCGTATATAAAAAATAGGTCACAATTCGTTACTGTACAGGGATTCAATTCAGAAAAATATAATATTACATCAGGTGTTCCTCAAGGATCACACCTCGGTCCGTTATTTTTTATTATTTATGTCAATTCTATAAAATCGTGTTTCAAATATTGTGAATTTTCCTTATACGCAGATGATCTGAAATTTTATCTCACCATAAATACATTATCAGATTGTTGCAAGATTCAGGAAGACCTAAATAGATTGACAGAATATTGCAACTCATCTAGTTTATTCTTGAATTTTCAGAAGTGTAACTGCATTAGCTTCACAAGAAATTTCTATTCGATTCACAGCAATTATTACATAGGGAATGATCAAATAGTGAGAGTTAACAACATTAGGGACCTAGGCATTATATATGACTCCAAACTGATTTTTGATTTACATGTGGAATCAATTGCAAATTCAGCCTCACGTATGTTGGGTTATGTATTAAGAACTTGTAAATATTTTTCAAACACCAAAGCCTTAATATGTGTATATTACGCATTTGTATTTAGTAAAATAAATTTTGCCTGTGTAGTTTGGTGCCCACAATATAAAACATACATAAACCGCCTGGAAAACATTCAGAACAAGTTCATTAGATATATTAGCTTCAAAGATAATTACAATTACAACGGCGATATAAATAACGCCAGAAAACATTTCAAACTGATATCCCTGTCAAACAGAAGAGAGATCATGGATATATTATTCTTACATAAAATCACCAACAGCATCATAGACAACCCCAATCTATTGAATCAAATTCTAATCAATGTTCCCAGTCGGCATCTAAGAACGAACAATTTATTCCACATACCTTTTAGGCGAACAAACTCGTCGCAGAATTCTCCATTATGTAGAATTGCCCGAAACTCAAATATTTACAATGATCAAATTGATATTTTTTCTTCATCCCAACAAAAAATTAAACATACTCTAAAACATTTTTTCTTACAATGAAGACTACACTTCATCCTTCTTCGAAGTGAGCACGTTTCAAATTATTGTTCCAAAAAATTGTATTCTATTAGGTATAAGGTATAATAACTAGATGTATAATAATTTTAATGTTTCGCATTTTATGTTCACATGATATTATTTTCATAAATTTGTATTAACAAAGGCTCAAAACAAAAATGTGTCTATAGTATATATATGTCTTTGATTCTCTCCATGTCATCCTGAATCAATTCAAGAAATTATATTCAACAGTCTCTAGAAGAAACAACGTTATATGTATTATGTATATGATTTAAAAATGATTATCTGATTATCTAATTTTTTTTTTTTTTTTTTTGTTTTAGTTGCTCTTTCATAATTTTCCCTGCTATAAACATGTATGTTTCTTGGGAATAATAATAATAATAAAGATGTTACATAACCATTGTAATCTTCTCGTAGATACTTTAGTGGACTACTTGTCTGTTTGTATCTTGATGACAATGAAATAAATAAATAAATAAATAAATATTGGATGTTGAACATCCAATGGGCATCTATTTCAGACGTACAGTGGATGTCTTGATGTACGATATTATGGTCATGGTAATAATATTCGAGTACTAATAAGATTGTTAGTTGTGTTAATACAAACTTGGAACTCGTTTTGGTGAAAATATCGGAAACATGAGGGCAATTTCGAAACTTTGTATTTTTCAAAGAAGAATGACATTTTACGTACCGTAAAATGGGGATACTTGGAATAATTTTCAGCCCTATCCTAAAAGATGTATGAATTTGATGTACTATAATTATAAAAATACGTATTCATCTTCGCCGGTTCAGTCGTTAGGGACAGTTTTCCGTCCTTCGTACAGTCGTATTCAATAAAAAAGCGTACAAGTAATAAACATAGAAGATTTCGGCATTCTAGTTCTCGTTGTGTAAAATTGGCTGAGCAAATGCTTTGTGTTTTTGAGAACCTATGATTACTGTCAACATTTAGTAAACATTCATTCCCGATAGCCCGTTTTCTCCCTCCAATATACTTGTACGCTTTTTTTTAATGCGACTGTACATAAATAACAATATGTCCAATTGTCAGTTTGAATTGTATACGAAATTACATTTTCGTGAGTAGATATACCACTAACATAATAACTGATGAATCTACTTTTTTGGTGGATTTTGAGTCATAATGATATGATTTCAATTATGAATTTTCATGGTTTTAGAAATCACCAGTGAAAAAATTGAAAACCAACTGAATGGCACTAATCATAGCCGCGAGAAGATCAAGAAGGATACGAGGAAAGTAAAAGTTATTTCTGTGTATAGAACCGATGATTGTAAAAAAATCCATTAGATATTGTGAATAAAGTTTTTGATACACAGAACTAGTATGTTTATTCTTGACAATGAATGATGGATCGAGCTGTAAGAATGTTTTTTCCAATGATCTGAATTCAATTGGTGCAGTAGAGTAAGTGCAACATAGCCAAATATGGGATAGCGAAAATCATGACGAGTTGATATTATAGGTATACCGGGTGTGTCAACGTATATTCATTGACAAGCCATAGTTTTCAGACTTCTGAAGGTATGAAATTCAAATTTGGCAGGTGTGTAGGATTCAAGAATTGGTAAATTTTGCAATATCTCATGTTCCACTAACTAACGCGAATATCTTCATAATCGTTTGAAATAATCCTATCAAACCACCTTCACATAAATTTGCCTCATTCAATTGTTTTTTCCATAGAGTTTTCTCTTTACCACTATCTGACACAGCTTTTGATAAAGAGATCAACATTATTAAACAAATTGCTATAAACCATCATTTTCCCTTAGAACATATCATGAAGATTTATTTCTAATTTTATACTAGTTTCAGACTCACTTTTGATGTAATATTGAGTCAAGTTACTGATCCCCCTGTTTTCAAATCCTTACATCTCTTTGGTAATTTTTCTGTTCAAATTTCAAAACTTTTTAAAAATTTCAATATCAACATATCCTATAAAACTTCCTTCAATCTCAAACATTTACTTGTTAATTCGAAAGACAAGATTTCTCAATCAAAAAAGTCAAGTGTGTATAGATTGAATTGTAATGATTGTAACTCTTCTTATATTGGTCAAACTGGTAGAAGTTTTGAAACCCGTGCCTCTGAATATAACAGACTCATCCACAAATTTCTCAACTCAGATAATCCTAACACTACATCTTTCTTTGCAAATCATATTATTGATTCTAGTCATTCTTTCGATGCTAACTCCAATATGGATGTTATCCACATTTGTAATAAAGGTCCACGGCTAAACCTCCTAGAAATTTTAGAAATTCAAAAATGTATAAACAATCCAAAGTTTAACTGTCTCAATGACCAAACTAATTTTGAACGAAACCACATTTTTCGCACACTTAAATTCTCCTGACCATTTTTATCTTACATTTTTACCTAAGCCGACCCTGTTCTATTTTGTTCACCTTCCTGAGTTCTTCTTCTTCTGGGTTAGATCACAATTACTACACCGTGACACTTCTTCTCTCTTCTTGGATTACATATCATTCGGCCTTACCACTTATCTCCCCTTTAGGTTTTTTAGACATAATGAATCTTGTAAATAATTCATTTTTCACAATTTTACTGCAACATTATCATAAATCAAAATTGTAATCTCATATTGTGCATGTCATTTGAGTTTTTATCAAATGTCACTGTCATTTGTCCTGTAATTCTGTCAACGTCGGTTGCTATGCTTGACATTTCGTTGCCTTCTCCTTGGCTTTTGTCTTTCACAAAAACGGCCATTTTAGGATGAAACTCCTTTGAGTGAATTTACTGCTGGTTTTTCCCAATTTTTGCCAATGTTGAATCTAATTATTATTAGGTTCTTTTGGCTGTTCAGTCGGTTCAAAAGAATATCAATTTTTTCACCGGATTGAATTTCGGCCAAATGGCCCTGCTATTCATATTTCAATTAATTTAATTACCTATGTGATTCCACGTGTCCTTTTATAAGTATGTTTTTTCCTCAATATGTCATTTTATTCTTGTAAACCAATATCTTTACAGGTACTATATATTGTGTCTGAAGATGGCTGCTTGAGCCGAAACTAGTCACAAAACATTTGTAATTAAACTTTGTGGTCGACCGACTTAGAGTTTGTGTTTTTTTCTTTGAATCCTATCGAACACAGTAGGTATCGTCGAATCGTTATGATGATCCCTAAATCATTATAGAATGAAGTATATTGATGTCTCATTTGAAAATTGGGGTCGAAGTAAGAGTAGAGTAGATTATATTCCAAAAAATCTACGTTGACAACCATATAAGAAGTTTTTCAGTCCATCTATGATGAAATAGTGGGTATATCGGGGTATATCATGTGAAATTGCCATATAACTTTGTTGACCGATATTTCAGAAATGGTTCATCTCAATTTGCTGAAATTTCGCAGCGACGATTCTCTGTTGAAACTATCCAAGATGTTATAGTATGATGAAAAAATCGAGATCCGGACTTGGGAAACATCGTTACATCAAAAAAGTTCACTTTGTGATCACTTTTCTCCAAAAATTTTATCAGATTCAGAAAGATCAGTCAAAATGTTATTGAAACCGTTCTCCGATATGCACGGCATACTTCGACAGGTTCAATGAAAAATATGAATCAGAAACATGCGACTACACTTTCAATTTTGACCTGGCATATAACTTCTATCTTTTAACTGGAATCATGTAGGTTGATTTTTCGTACAATTCTGTTGGACAGCAATTGACAGGAAAAAGTAGTTTGGAAAAAACACAGCACATAATACTGTTTTTTGATAATTCGAAATTTTGATTTTTGTACGATATTCTAGAAAGATATTTTTTCTACAAACGTCAAAAAATGACAAGGTTCGCGCATTGATAACAAATTGCGAAGTGACACATTTTTCAGTTCCTTTCGTTACCATGATACCTTGCAAAAAACAATGCGCGAAGTAAACCAGTGCGCGAAGTACCTACTTGGTACGCGCATTGTTATGTAAAATATATGAGATAATTATAATTCATCTTTATGGTCCTCAATCGAGCAAACATCCACGAAATCATTTATTCCTGAATGTTCAACAATAACTTTGTTTTATCTCTCGGAGCGCATGAAAGGAAATTCCTATTATGTTCGTTGAGCATCGTGCGTACCTAGGGACGATAAGGGGAGGCCTTCTAAGCCAGTTCAACACTATTTTTCATATAAAGCTGAGCATATGTTTTCTCTAGAACTATATTTTTCGACGTCTGAAGAAAAAATTTCGTTTGCAACTCGAGCGCGAAATACTTTGGTCATCTCGACTATTTTTTTAACTCGGCTACGCCTCGTTAAAAAAATCAGATCTTGATCACCAAAGTAGCATTTCGCGCTCTAGATACAAAAATAACTATTCATTCGTGCCGTGATGATAGTTAAGGTTCTGTTTTTCATTGTGTGTTGATGATCCGAAGTGAACAAACTAAAATTAGGGCATGAGGATTTCCATGTTAGTACCTATAAGTTTGGATTATCAACAATAAATGCCACGTCAAATCATACAATAAAAAACAGTGCCTGTACAATTCATTGCTACTTCATAACAAATTTATAATATAGAGTCACGACTATCAAAATTAACATTTTCAATCATCAAAAAATCAGGACTGTTTTTTTCCTCAACTACCTACTCTTTCCTATCAATTCATGTCCAACTAAAGTGAGTAAAAATCAATTTCAAGAGCAACGGAAGCACCTAAAGTTTCTCCTTAATTTTGACACGGTCTCATCTGGTCAAATTGTATCTTGCTGATAATTCACAAGCCGGCTACTAAAGGTCACGATAACATTTATAAGTAAGTATAGTTGATGATAATTATATTGGATACATGTATGTCCACTGATAGTTACTCCTGCAGCATTCTTCGTCATGTTTATGCACCAATCAATATATTCCCTTTTCTTCCTTCAAAGTTGTTTTTGTGTTCTCTCATCATCAGAAAATCGAGTAAGTGACTTCAAAACCTATTGGATATTCGAAGAACTAGTCATATATTGAATTATTTATACTTGAATGAATAAAAACTATATAGTAGATAGTATGGGTTGTATATCTTATATAAAGTGGGAAGACTTTATAACTGTAATGAATTCGTTAGCAGGGAGTTGAATGATTTTTCTGATAATTCGCGAAACATGTCAAAGAATATAACTCTCCAGGGGTAGCTGGAATCAGCCCCAACACGTTTTTTCCAATACAAGCCTTTAGCTTTCGACCCGTCATGAGGAAAGCTGGTTGAAAATAAAATCAAAATATAATTTCAAAGTTCAATATATTCACAAAGTATTTTCAACAAACTTTAGATGATATATATGTGGTTAACTTTCTTCATGAACATTTCAAAATAAGAATCCATCATAAAACAATGAGTGAATCAGATTCATCAACAGTAAGAATACGAGGTGTTCTGACTTAAACTGCCCTATATATTTAAAAATCAATAGGTATAGTAGTTCAGACCAAAATGCCTAGAGCACTTATGTATTTTATTTGCATCGAGTGTGTATGTGTATTAAGATTGTTATATACACCCTGTCCCAGCTAAAATGTCCCTCCCTGTAAAAAATCAACCGCGCAATCGTATGACTTGAAATTTGGTCACCCAGTATATTTGATGATGCTCACTCGAAATATGTTATTGAATAAATCGTAGGTATACAGGGTCACACCGAAGTGCACCTCAACTTGCTTATTTGAATAGGAACACCCAGTATATTATTTCATATTCAAGTAGAGTTCATTATTACAAATTCATCAATGCCGGGTTTGATGGGGTTTTTTCAAACGACTACGAATAACAGGATTAGTATAATGTTTTATAGTTTCAAAAATTAAAATGAAATGATGATCAGTCATATTGATGTCTAGTATTGATCCTTATAAATATAAATTATTAGCCATGAGTAAGGATATATCATTATCAAATGAATTTTCAAACTGATTGGATTGAGTGATCACCAAATAATCAGAGAAAAAATTGTTCCTCGGGGGTCAGAAAAGTGGTTGATGAAGAAGTGAGAAGAATAGATAACATAGTGTATATAAATTTATTTCATCTCATCACACGTGGTAGTTTTATGTCCCAGCAATTTTGGGACATTGTTTATAGATGGTTTGTTGGTGTACTATATGGAAAAAATATAGAACTTTCAATGATTCCTTATATAGTACCGAAATTTCATTGTTTTAATAATCTATTTTGCGTACCAGCTCACCACACCACAGTTATATAAAATCCATTTTTCAATATGTGGAAACCTGGAATCGAAAAAAAAAACGTTTCTGTAGGTAGGTAGGAATAAAGAAGATTATTTTTGCCAACTTAATTTATAATTTTTCAATAGATGAAAGGTTTTGTCGGAATACAAAACTGTATTTGTTATGTTCACTTTATATAACTCATAGCGACCCGGATTGATAAACGGTCATATAGTGATTGGTATTCAGTGTTCAGTCGCTCTCTGCATTTTACATTCCGAAATTTACTATCGTGATAATTCATTTTCGCACGCCGCTGTCGTTTGAGGAAATAGCACAGTCTATCGTTACCGTTTCCCTTCCCCTCAACCCGCTTGCCAACATACTCCTAGACTTCAAAACATTATATTATGCTGAAACTATAGAGTTGCACTGGCATACATCAGCAGATAGCAGTTGTGGCAACAATTTGCCATCAATTGTTCAACACAGATTTTGTGCAATTGTTACGTTGAAAATAAATTGAATTTCGGAACTATATCTTGATTTTATGCAACCCTTAGACGTGCAAAGACATGAAATTTGACCAGTACGATGGATTCCTCTTCCCACCAGATTTTTAATGAGAGGTCACAAGCCATAGGGTCGAATTTGAAAAAAAAGCATGATGACTGTATATCAGCTACCTCTGAAGGGATATTTCCTCGATATTGCTTGCACAAGGTGATTGAATACATTAAATCATTGAAATATGTCGGGAATTTCGAGAAAAAATATTCCTCTCCCTGCTAGTGAATTTCTTCCAGTTGAAGTCTCCACACTGTATATTCTGCTCATACCCATTATTGTTATGAATATTCAGAATTATGGTCATATCGAGGGTCATATGGATGATAACCATATTCTTGTATCACCCAGTATTACTTCTGATGATACAATTTTCCTTATGAAACTAGTCAGCGAAGTCGGTAATATGGAAGAATTTTACGGTAAGGTTTAATGAATATTCAATCCCAGACAGCACTGGATATTCCTAGAATATTCTCTAAATATGCTGAAAAGGAGGAGTATATTCCGAATATTCATCGATTATTCCTAGAATATATACATGCCTCTGGAACATCTAAAAGGAATATTCCAAAGTGACTAGTCGGATATGTTCAGGGAATATTCAGGCATGAATTTTCCAGGAATATTCCCACATGAATATTCTCTCTGGTATATTTATGAAATATTCCCAACTGAATGTTCTGTGGGATATATTCATGAAATATATATTCTCAATTGGATATTCTGTGCGGTATATTCATGAAATATTCTCAACTGAATATTCTGTGGTGTATATTCATGCAATATTCCATGAATATTCCTATGTTTCTCAACACATAAATACCAATCATTATTTCAGAGATGTGAGTATCAAACATCAATTAGATGTAAGGGGATTTTGAAACAAAAAGTGTTTATGATCCGATTTCGAAAAACGCTCTCACAAGAAATTGATATGTACATACAACATTATTCAATTCGATTACTGGCCTAGTGGTCAAGGAGTTGCTCTGATAGTCTTGAGGTCACGAGTTCGATCCCTACTTGGGTCACTTTTTTTTATTTTAGAATATGTTTATTGGAATATTCCAGGAACATTCAACATAGAATATTCTTTTGGTTATATTCTATGAATATCTGAGGAATTCCCATTCGCATATTTGGAGAATATTCCACAGATATTCTGGAATATTCCAGATTATTTCTAGAATATTCCAATATTCCAAAAGGAATATGATAGGGAGATTCATGGAATATCTGGTGCTGTCTGGGATTATCCGATGATTGTTGGTCATTTCTTGAGCATATGGAGATGATGAATTTTCGATCAATTATTCGAACAAGGTTCACTGACTATTGATTGAAATCATCCTACTGGTGCAGATTTATTGAAATAATACTGATATTCTCAATTACAGTTACAGATAAGAGGAAAGAAAATCCAAAATATCTACAGACAGTACACAGAGTTAGTCAGTTTTCTGTAGCGGAACTTAGACAGCTGGAGAAGATATTTTCTTCTGATGAAAATCTTATCCCCGTTTCTGATATACAAGCGGTTGCATATTTTTATATATCACTAGCTGTACCCTGCCCTGCGCGCGTTGCTACGCTACTTACTAAAATCAATTCAAAGACTGTACACGAATATTGAATTTATTTCGAGTCATTTCAATGATTATAGCTGACCTGGCGAACGTTGTTTTGAAATGTACATTACTTCTAGAAAATATTTTTTCACAAAGCTCGTTCGACATTTTGAATTTTCTAATTATGACAGAGGAGTCATAATCTCCGACCACGAAAACACTTAGATACCAATTTTGAATAGAATCGGATCATATTCAATGAACTTTTATCATAATCATAATCTTTTTGACCCCAAAAACCCCCAGATACCAATTTTGAATATAAAGAAATTATAATTACAAAAAGTCGTCCGCCATGTTGGATCCGCCATCTCGAATTATTCAATTTTGACGGAAGAACCATAATCTCCAACAGCAAAAAAACACAGATTCCTATTTTGAATGGAATCGGATTATAATTACAAAACTCGTCCGCCATATTGGATCCGCCATCTTGAATTTCCTAATTTTTTTACTCATAGGAACCTTCTCCTGACGCAACAAAGAAATATTATCAGAATCCGTCAAGCGGTTTACTACGAAAGTACGAAAGCGTAGAACGGACATGAGATATTTTTTTTCTTAATTTCGAGTTATAACTCGAAATTAGCTTAATTTCGTGTTACAACTCGAAATTAAGCTTTTCTTGAGTTGTAGTACGAAACCAAGCTCTCAATGAGTCAAATTTTCACAGGAAGTAGTCGTATAATTCTCGGTATAGTACCTAACTACGAAAGCGTAGAACGGACATGAGATTTTTTTTTCTTAATTTCCAGTTATAACTCGAAATTAGCTAAATTTCGTGTAACAACTCGAAATTAGCTTAATTTCGAGTTATAACTCGAAATTAGTGCTAATTTCGTGTTACAACTGGAAAGTAGCTTAATTTCCAGTTATAACTCTAAATTAGTGCTAATTTCGTGTTACAACTCGAAATTAGCTTAATTTCGATTTATACCTCGAAATTAAGCTTTTCTTGAGTTGTAGTACGAAACCAAGCACTCAATGAGTCAGATTTTCACAAGAAGGAGTCGTATAAATCTCGGTATAGTAGCTAACAGTGTAGTAAAGAATGGAAGAAATAATTTAATTTTTTTTTCCTTGGGGCTACAACAAATAGAAATTGTTTCCTGTTTATCCTTGAATCATGATATTTTTATTAGTGATCGTCATCTCAGACGAAAATTGAGGATGATGAATTTGTACAGGAGAAGATATAACTATGACATAGCTCGGATTGAAGAGTTTATTGAACAGAAGCCCTTATTTCGTGTTACAACTCAAGGAAAGCTTAATTTCGAGTTGTAACACGAAATTAGCTTGATTTCGAGTTATAACACGAAATTAGTACTAATTTCGAGTTATAACTCGAAATTGAGGAAACAAATATCTCATGTCCGTTCTACGCTTTCGTATCTTCCAGTCAATAATTAAGAAATGTCAATTAGAGTATGTGTTCGAAAAACATTCGGAAGAGCAAAAAATATCTCACTGAAAAGATAATCGTAATTCATATGTCTCACTGAAATCAGAGAAGAAGCAGCACGCAAAAAAGTTCAACTCCTATATCAC